CTGAATTGAATTCACCTGGCCCAGGTGGGCCAATTCAGGTTCACGCCCACTGATGCCTACTGGGGAAACCTGAGCCTTTGGGCATGTGCAGTGCGCCACTCCTTTGTTCCCCTAGCTTGGCCCTCTGGGCACTCGTGAACGGACATTCCCAGCTCTAGCTAACCTACCTAACATGTTTTCCTGGGCAGAGTGCCCCCACATCCTTGCCGCAGTAAAACGTCCACAGAGAGGTGGACTTCTGTCTCCACTGCTCAGCCTCATTAGGGAAACGCGCCTCCCCCGCCCCCTGGTGCTGGCCAGAGCCCTGCTCTGTGCCCCGTAGCTGTGTGTCCTCGTCATTGCCTTCACCACAGGATGGCTCCGCATTCACTTGTGCTTAGTTCTCCTTTGACTCATGGCCGGCTCCCACCAGAACGTTAAGTTCTCTGAGGGCACAAGCCACGCCTGGTGTCTGGACATAGGAACGTGTCTGTTGTTCTGTCCCCAGTGCTGGGCCCGGGCCTGGAGAAGGACACAGAGGCTGCACAGCTGATGCTGGTGAATGAAGGCATTCACAGATAGTAAGACAAAACAACACAAGGCCCTCCTCTTGATAAAACAGACAAAAATGTTTATCCTTGGGCTCCTGCCCTCCCCTGTTGTGTGAAGTCCCTTGTCTGGCCCCATGCCTCCAGATGGGGAGACCTCCAGAGGGGTGCTGCCGGCCCCTTGTGGTGGCCCTGGCTTCCCGGGGTGGGCTGCTCGGGGACCAGATTTGAGCCGGGTCTCTGGTGTTCTAGGGACAACACTGGCAGGCAGTGTGTGGGTGAGGGTGTGGATGTGTGTGGGGAGCTGGTGAGAGCGCTTTACGGCTTGAAGCCTGCTCAGCTCTAGAAAAGTCTGAAGACAGCCCCAAGCAGCCCGCCGCCACCTCATGCATCCTCTCCTCTCCCTGGGGACAGCGTCTTTGCTTCCCTGATCTCCTGTGACTTCAAGCAGGGAAGCTGGAGCCTGAAGGCCGCCACCCTGTGCAGTGGCCACGAGAGCCTCTAGCCCCGTGCTGCTCTTGCTCCCGGGCCCTCGGTCTCAACGCCCCCCCCCATTGTTGGGGTTCAAGGGAGCATTCACCCACTTCCTTCATCTCGTGGCCAGAAACAGATCCTCTCCCTGGGGACAGCGTCTTTGCTTCCCTGATCTCCTGTGACTTCAAGCAGGGAAGCTGGAGCCTGAAGGCCGCCACCCTGTGCAGTGGCACGAGAGCCTCTAGCCCCGTGCTGCTCCTGCTCCCGGGCCCTCGGTCTCAACGCCCCCCCCC